AAGGCCTTATTATCTTATGAAATATAAATACTATTATCTAGTACTATTTCTAGTATATTATAAGGCTTAGAGATAATTATCTTTCGGTAGCTTATAATATTAAGCGGTTCTAGCGAGGCTTCGTTATTAATATTATATAGCTCGCTTTTAGTAGAGAGGAAAGCCTTATTACTAATATAGTCTGTGAGCTGCCTAAGGTAAGCGCGCTTATTAATAATTATTATAGCGTCTAATATATTAACTACTATAATGAAAAGAGCTTTATCTATAACTATATCTTATACTCCCTAGAGCGTAGCTTTGAAAAAGTATATATAATTATCTAGTAGATTAGCGTATTTAATTAGGATCAGTGAGCGGGAATATGGCTAGACTAGTATTAGCTTAGACGCGGTTTTCGTTGAATTAGTAGGCCGCGGGGCTTTACTATTATTAGATAGACTAGATCCTAGTAGCTACGCAACGTAATCGTATTAAGCTTTATATTAATAAGAACATTAGTAGCCTAAAGAAACTCGATACTTAGAAGAAGTCTTAGCTTTAATTTATCTATAACCTAAGCTATAACCTGTATCTTACCTAGCGCGTTTATACCTTATTAGGTGCTAGGAAGGTATAATAAGAAGGTAGTATATCTTATAACTATTACTAGTTAAGAGATACCTTAGAATATCGTAGATATAGTGTTATTATATCTGACGTTAGGATAATTTACGAGCTATACGGCGGCGACGTAAAGGCGTATATAACTCGTATTAACATATATTGTTTTCACTAAATCGCTAAGTTAAAATAAGACGTCTATCTTTATATATATAAACCCTACTAAGCGTTCTAGTAGCAGCTTAGTACAAGGTTCCTTATAAATAACTTATAGCTATTCTACTACTCTAGGGCGATAGTCTTACGTATCTACGGCGGTGTTAGTATAAGGTATATAGTCGTTTTTAAAGATATATTTAAATATTTAGTTCCTTAATAGGAAGGTAGAAGTATACTTAATATAAGTAGTGACTTTCTCTTACTTTAAGATTACTAAATAGCTAGCTTCACTATCTTTATTTTCTATCGGCGTATTAGCTAATAGCTCTAGCTAAGTGAACGTTTTAGTAGCGATATAGCTAGCTTTAATTAGTTCTTAATTATACTCTAAACTATACTCTTTAGTGATATCGATATAATCTATTATATAGTTCGCACTATTATTATAGCGAAATCGTCTGAATTAGCTATACTCGGACTTAGGTGCGTCTATAATATTTTCGCCTTAGGATAATAGTAATATTAAGCGCTACTTTAGTAGCAGCAGGTAGTTAAGCTAGCTCTGAGTCTGCTTCTAGGTATTAGTATTACTTAATCGGGCCTAGTTCTAAACATAGGAGGGCTAATAAGAACGGAAGCTGTAAGAGCTTTAATAGTCCTGGAAATAAGAATTATTATTACTAGGTCGCTAGTCTTATCTTATAATAAAGTAAGGGCAGTCTTATCACAACTTTTCAGTCTATATTTCCTATTTCTCTATAAGGTCTTTAAGATACCTTAGTAATATTGTTATTTCAGTAGGGCGGTATATAATTAGACGGAACCTAGGGTTAAGATTATTATAAATAGTAGATAGCTACTAATAAGTTTTATCTATATCTGCCGCCTTAGCGTGCCGGATTACTATAGAAGCCTATCCTCTAATATCCCGACCTTTTTTAGTATTAGTCTTAGTATACTTATCCTTATTAAGCTTTTTTAATACTATAGCTATAGAGTCTTTAAATCGTTTTAATAAGTATATTATCTATAGTTCGATGCTATTCGGAGTATACTAGAACGCTAACCGCGTAGTTTTATTAATTTCCTTAGTATACTAGCGCTATACTAACCTATAGAAGTAAGATTATAAGTTTACTCGTATAATACTCTCTTATCTTACTATAGCGTTAAAGTAAAAAGAGTTTATAAAAAGAAAGATATTCTACTATATTATAGCTTTTCTAGTATAATCTATAGTATTAAGTATATTAGGATTAAAGAAGCTGATATCTTCTAGATTCTATCTTTAGGAAATACTATCTAAGGAGAGGAAGTCGATTATTATATTATTACTGCGATTTAGCTAAGGAGGTACTAGGTTAAATTACAAAGGAGGTTGATTTTAGTTGTTATTAAAGTTATTATCTCCGCTTAGTGCGGTACTTAAGTGTTATTATTAGCGCTAGTCTCTCTCGTCTAATACTTATATAATTATCCGCGCTATTAAGGCTAATATTTCTTACTATATCTCTAGGGTTAGTACCGGAATATATTAGTTATTACTTTCTCCTACTACTAGGAGTATAGCTCTATTACTACTTTAGCTCTATATGTTTAAAGGTATTTCTGGACGTATAATATCTTCTATTAATATCATAGAGCAGTAACACGGCTATTCTTATTCTATATTTAGAAAGAACCTATTAGTGTTATTAGTAAAGTCTTTAACTATCGCTCTAAGAGCTAGCTTATCTACTACTTAATCTTAAGGGTATTTTAGCGCTAGCTAAGGAGTATCGCGAGCTATTTCTCTGTTTTACAGTTATACTAAAACTAATCGAGAGCGGTTTCAGGCCTACTCCTATAGTATTTGACGTAGGAACCTCTTAGTAATCTTCTAGATTATATCTTAGTATATATTAGTATTTATAGCAGATTTATACCTAGTTTCCCGGAAAAATCGTAGTTAATAAGTAAGTATAATAAACGTTATAAAGAGTTTAAGTTTCTCTTTCTCTACTATCTGTAATTTATTAAAGTACTAGCTTATAGCAGTAGTAATACTACTAGTCGAGTAATAATTAAGTGTAATAGGGTAGTGCGTTTAATAACACCGCGGCCTTTTAGCAACGGTTCCGTATAGTGAATAGCGCGGGGCGATAGTCCTAAGCTAGTCCTATAGTCCGTTTTTAATAGTATAGATTAAACTCGGAATTACTACTATTATTATAGTATAGTAAGTGAGGTTATAAAAGGATGTATTATTCCTATGGAATAAGCGTACTACTTAAGGTAGTCGCTACCTAATGGGGAAGGTGCTGGTATGATACTGTACTAGTGCTATAACTATAACAGCCTATAAGTTAAGAGGGATAAGAAGAATAAGACTCTGCGGATTTATTAAATAGCTTACACTTAAAAGCTACTAGAAAGGTTTAGAATAGCTGCAGCTAGAGGTAATACCTTACTTATAACTGCTAGAATAGTACTTAGGGAGTTAGCTAAAGATAAAGGTATTATATTAGCCTCCCCTAAAGAGATCTTATTGTTTTAGCAGATTATCAGCTCTCTAATATACCTCTCGAACTTCATATGACTTAATATTACCTATATAATAGGCTAGCTAGCGTAGTATATATTAAATCCCCTTAAATCTTACCTCTAAGATATGAAACCTCTTCTCCGATATTTATAGCGTACTAAAGGTAACAGAATAACGTTTAGAATAGGAATAGAATATAAGGGGAAGCTAAACAACGATATATTCGATATTTAGACTGATATTACGTAAAGGATAGAATATAATAGGAAATTATTCTAAGGATAGATAGTAAGGTTCTATAGGAGTCTAATCTCTTAGGCTACTAATAGGTAAAGGTCTATAGCTCTCTCTAGCTTAGATTCTAAGATAATAACTACTAGTAACTCTAGAGAAATAGCTTAGTTACTTAAGCTATAGAAAGACCTTAATATAAAGCTATCCCGAATTCTTATATTATATCTTAATAACACTAGAGCCGAATCTCTCTTAAAAGAACGGAAATTCTATCTAAAAGCAAAGTATATCGATATCCGCTAGTTCTATATTCGAGATAATATAGTTTTATATAATAAGTTAGTAGTAAAACACGTTCTAAGTAATAATAATATAGCAGATACTCTTATAAAAGCTTTACTCTTAGAATCGTTTAAACAATATAAGATATATATAAGGTTACCTAATAATAACTGATTCTCTAATAATAACTCTAAGATTAATAATAGTTAGCTAATTAATAGTAAACCTATATAAATTAAGGCTATTTCTAGTAGTAGAACTTATAAAAATAGAATATTCTTCGCGGAAAACTAGTCCTTTAATAAATACCTTCTTTAATAATAATATATACTTATAAATTAAGTAAAATAATAATATATAACTACTATACCTAATAGTTAAGATAAATCTTATTCCGCAGTTAAAAGAAGAAGGAAAGGAAATAAAACTAGAAGAGGATAACTTTTATATACCCTAGAGGCTAGAGAGAAAGCTAGTAAAGAATAAATCTTAGTAGCTATAAAAGGAAAGTATAAGGTAGCTATAAATAAAAGTAAATAAGAGTAGTAGAAGTAAGAGATTATTAATAAGAGAGCGATTTAGGTATACTCTTATATTATTTTATATACTTTAATACTATAAAGTTACTAAACTCCTAGGAAAACAGAAGATATAAGCACTATATATACGCTAGTATATTACAGGAGTTAATAAAGTATAATCGAGGCTCCTTATATAATATAAGTTATTAGTAATACTTTAGCGATACTCTAGTGTTACTTTAGGAATATTTAGCGCTATACTACTTTAAAAGGCTCTATTTACTACAGATATAAAGAATAAGGGGACTATTAGAAATATAGGGATTATAAGCGTAGACTCAGTACTATAGGCCGTACTACTAAGTACGCTACCCCTTTATATAAGAGATTCTCTCTCTCTGTAGTAGCTCCTTATGCAACTGCAATTCTGTCAAATACATATTCTCCAAACCTACTGATTCAACCTCACGTTCCGAGGAAGAGGTCCGTGCACAAACTTTGTTGTTTCTATTTGGGCATTGAGCACTGAGAATCGGTCCACAAGTCATCTATTATCCACACAAGTTAGGTAAGATAGCACCTGGAAATCATATAGATACAGGTAGCCCACGCCTCAGGCAAAGCGACCTTCGAAAGAGAAGGTATAATGCAGGGCAAATATGGTCAAGTATTTGATCTCAAAAATCCCAAGCATTATCGAAAGTCCACTGCTGTATTGCCTCAAAATCACGACACATGTGCGTAATGTCAAACCGAGCTTTTGGCTGTTTTCCTTCATCGCCATGATCGGTGTACACGATCACATCGATATCACTATCACACTGTTCCTAAAATCAGATCCTCATACCCGGAGGTGCCAAAGAGCTTCTCACCATTATCTTCTGTCGAATTATGTCCATGCAGTGGTCTGATATAGCAGGAAAGATTAGCATTGTCTCTTGTAAATGGGAAGACACACAGATACTCACCAACGTGAAATAAGATTCGCTCCTCAGTATCTTGAAAAGCGATGTAACTAGGGTAGTATCCACGGAAAATATACTTCCGTACGAGATCTAAGCAATGGAGTTGGTGGAATACGTCGATGTAGGCAAAGTATTTGTCTCCATATCTCTTGGCGTTGTGAGTAGGCTGGCCTAGGGCGTTCATCGCGTCTTCATCTATCAAAACCAGACTATCTTCAATTGAGATTAGAAAAATAGGGTGCGTCTTCTCTGTCTATTTGGTGCAATGAAGGTTTCTCACGATTCAGAATTCCTGCCCAGGCTTGGTCGAGTTCTGGCATTGGATAGCCTTTGAATGGCGATGAAGACCCTTTGCTCTCGAAGTCCGCGTGATCGTAAATCTTGGGAGAGTAGACGACAGTGTTCCACAGCGGCGCTATAGAGAGTCAATTTGAGATATATATAAATGGAGTAGGGACATTCACAATATATTCTTTGGAAGCCTGCACCGGCAGAGCTGTCAGGCTCCGCCTTTATGCCACCCCATATGAGGAGAGTCAAAATAGCTGAAAGGAGAATGCCATGAAGGAGCCAGTGCAATATATCGTATCTTGTATTTGGCCTTTTGGCGATTTCGACATCGTCAGGCAGCTCAGGCTGCTCAATAGCACTGAGCTCTTCGTAACTGAAAGCCATCTCTGTCCACACGAAATTGTTGGGTTGTTGTCTGAGCAGCAGAAGCAGCTGGAGTAGATGCTAGAAAGTCATTCGAAGTACTTCCAAGAGCGAGAGATAATCCTGGCAGAACTGTCGAATTGATATGTGCACTTTGGAAGGATTCGATCTTCAGCTGAAATCACATGTAACAATGTCGTGCGTGGCACAAATAAGAACAGCCGTCATCACGAAAGGACACCCACCCTGCAACCGCCTGCATGACATCCCCTGGAGCATCTCTAGAAATCCGGAGAAAGTGTGGGTAGCTTTCCAGGGTGACTATCTAATAACCAAGCTGCTCCGAGCCCTGGCAGGTCACTAGAAACCTCTAAAGCTGCCCTTGTCTTTGCTACAGACCAGATTTTAGCTCGTGCTTTAAGCTCAACCAGGCCCTTCGGCCATTCAAGAATCCAGTTGCAGGCTTCCGACCCGCAAAACTTCACATTTAACAGGGGAGGAAGAGTATACGCTTGGCACTATACTTACCTTAATATAACTCGATTGGGCTTAGCACAAGTAAACAAGAACAGCTGTAGATGTCAGGTAATGAGAGCGTAAATGGTCGGGAGGCTCGCAACCGGAGATTTGTATGAGGAAATGTTGCTTCTTAGACACAAACTAACGCTTTCTCCCACCCTCCAATGCAGTGCGAATTTTGCAACCTCTTACTGTCCCCCTTCTTCTCAAACAAATATTTCTCACCGATTCGACATCAGCAAGATGGCTTATCCAAGATACGCACTTGTAGCATCAGCAGAGGAGAGTATCCCATTGGGGAGGCTTGATTCTTCAAGCGATGACTCGAAAGACATCAAGAGAGCCCTTCAAAGGCTTAGATACCGGAGGATGTATGCCGTCTCATCAGGGCTGATTCTCTCAATGTTTTTGAACATGAATCTTCTACTTTCACTCGCAGCCCACGATGGATTCAGTCATGCGCCTTACTGTAAGTATCCAATCTAACCGCAGTTGCGGAAACCATTCTGATCCTCACAGCACCTGCTTCAACTATATTACGTAACAATAAAGTCGTTTTTTCGAGTGGATTTGGAATAGAGCAGTCTCCATTTCAAGGTCAGCCAAATGAGCTTAACAACAAGCTATGGGAAAGCCTCTACAATTGTACGGCCCTTGCTCAGCCGCGGCAGCTCCGACGGGCTCCATTTTGCTAACAATTAGAAGTTGGAATCACAAGGATAAGCACTGAAGAAGCCCGTCCAATGCCAAACAAAACTTTGCCAATTCCAGGAGACAAAGGAGGCTATGTTGTGCAGCTCTCTGTTTTTCATCTCTTACACTGTCTGGTAAGTAGATTTGCATCCTCCCACTCTGTTTGATGAGTTGCTCATACATTTCAGAACCTCGTAAGACGCGGCTTGTACGGAGAAGTTGACATGTCTAACAATGACGACTCATTGGGGATAGAGCATCTTGATCATTGCGTCGACCATATCAGGCAAAGCATTATGGTGAGCAACCCAACGTGAAAAGAGAAACAGGCCAACGACTTATCTACATAAATTACAATAGTGCTCTAGTGATGTTGCCCCATTGACGTTCGCTCGTCGATCTATGGACGAGAAACCGAAAGCTGTAGCCGAGGTTCTTCATGGCTGCCGTGACTTCTCCGCCGTACAGAGGTGGGCGCTGCAGAGACAGATCTCTTTGGAAGTGGATTTTGATACTGTTGTGACAGATGATCCACTCGGTTGGGGCTCATATCAATACTCGCCTGGGGCATGATTATGCTGCTATGCCGATTATATGATATCAAGATGACCGAGCGAGATTTCCATAACTTTAGCTATGTTTATGAATTGTTTACAAGATTTACCTTCTCCGTGGTGGGACAAAGCCAATGCAAACCGGTTAGATGCTGCTGTTTTCCCTTATTATCTTCATATGAACCATCGTAAGCAATTGAAAGAGTTGACAGCGATTTCCACCTCCATACCAAAGGTGAGTCGTGATGAGCACCAACCCATCGCTTACGGACTGGAATAGGATAATTAGTGGATATTCTATTGAGACATTTATCTTGATATGCTTGTTCGGAGGGCCACTGCAGGTAATTCCGCCTGTAATGACCATAATAACGGACCTTTTGCGGCGACGATGCTCGTTTTGGAAATGTACTCGTTGACCCCAAACCACCACATGTGCTGTACTGAAGGGCAAGTAGCCTCACTCCACTCGGCCCTCAACCTCATCCAGCGGTGACTCGATAGCGGAAGAGGAATAAACGAATGCCGATCAACTCTATGTCACTGTTGCCTAGCAGGCCCCATTCGACTTTCGATATTATTCGATCTCGGAACTCCATCGATTGCATCCGATCCACTGTGGGGGCCCACCCCATGCCAAAGCTTCAAGCGGTTGAATTCGCGCATCTCATTGTCTCGTCACCAACGATGCAGTGACAGTGATCGTTTAATTGCCGTTGAAGACATACCAACAGAGCCATGTGCATGCGGCGCAGAGCAGGGCGCATGCGTTTTTATTGTTGGTCAGGCCGTCAGGCCGTAGAAGACCCGCATGTTGGCTCCCAGCTCCGTGCGTGCGTCGCAGTGCCCATGGGGGTTTGTTGTTGGCGAGGCTGCTTGAGACTCGAATGTTGATTCTAGGATCATGGCATGGAACTAGCAGATGAGAGGCTTAACCACTTGCTTGAGGCACCGCTGTATTGAGAGCTTCCTCTGGGGTAAAGGCAAGCAGCTATCTGCGGAGATTACTGCATAATCGTTGAAGCTCAAGATTTTAACCGTCAGCGCCACCACTCCCTTTATTCTTGGGTCTGACAATGGGTCCGCCAAGTAGCAGGGTAAAAGCTCTGTGCGGCCTGGAGTTGACTATGACTTTACGATTAAAAGCGTGCAAACAGAGCAAACAGGCTCAAGAGTGATAGTTTATAATCTTATTCTAATCCAATGCTCGATTTATATCCACAATTCGAGAGCTCACGGACGTTGTAAGACCCTCGTGTAACCTAAATATCCAGGTAAAATATGTCTTATAAAGCCTGCTAATCGTACGAATCTAATTCCTGCAAAGTCGGACTTGAAAAATTGAGATACTGAGCAAGAAATCGTATCGATGCTACTGGTTAGAACCCCCCGGCGAAGATCTATCTTGGAGACTCCATTGTCAGACCCAAGAATGAAGGGAGTAGTGACCAGCAGTGATCAACAGCATGGAAAATACTAGCCCTCCTACTTCGTGTAGATACCCTGGATAAATCGTAGCGTTGCAACAGAGACTTACATTCGAAATCGAAGGCAAAAATCGAATGCATAGGAGCACTAATTTTTGGACACTTATGGTCAGGCAGCGATCGTCCCAGTTGAGCCCGTCGTCGGTGACACTAACTGATGATTCTAGTCCCGTTGACTTTTGCGTGGCAGCGTGTGTTATGTGGCAGATGACCCTGCTCCAGGCTGGTTGAGGATTTGAGAGCTTGGATAGCATCGGGGTAAAGACCACAATGGAAGTCTTTACCGTCCTCGCATACTTCAACAATGCAGGGCCGCACCTAGACTCCTCCAATGAACACCCACGCCCGTCACCATCTCCCAATTGTTTCCCAACGGCTTGGCATAGATCAGGCCACAATCTGTATGTGCTGGATCGTGAGGTAATACTAATTGCACACCCAATTAGCACGGGACGTATTCTAACACAGCTAATAGTATAGTGGAATTGAGACGTACATTCAGGTGGGCTAAGTACATTGTTCTGGTTTGCTTGTGGCATGCGAATCTTTTTTAACATCGTCCGAAGAGGGCAAGTGTTATTCATGATAAAAAATATACATAAAGGCGCATATGCTGAGCTCAAGCTCGTGTCTCGACCAAAACGAATTGGCTCAAAGGCCGATCGCTGTCGCGGGATCGAAGCTTGAGTGGTAGATCGAGGTTATGTTAAAACAGGGTGAAAATTCTGTCGATGCATTGCATTGCATATCAATGTTGGTGCTGTTGGAAGAAGAGTGCAGAATAGAATTTGTCTGATACACAAAGAGAGACTCGCATGCACGGCAAAAAAGGGCGAGCCTCCCCATTTTCTTGCTAGGGTGGTGAGTGGTTGTGCACGATAAGCGCTCTTGTTAGCCCATCCCACGCCCGGCTGCATCTATTGATCATCGATAGAAGCGGACAGTCTTATCATTTGCTAGAAGCTGGAAAAGAGGATGTGTGCAGGTTCTCGGCAAAAATTTCCGTGTTCGAAAGCGTAGAGAGAGGCGCGGGGTATGGTGGAGAGCTTCTCATTATGTTCAGGTATAATAATTAAGTTGGGTGTGCGATCAGAAGTTGAGACCCAAACCGCAACAAGGTTATTGCCAACTCGAATCCTACTAGCTATCAGCCAAATTCTATGATGTTTTTCAAGGAGTTCGTTATCTTAGCTCTTGGAGTTTCCGCCATGGCGTCCCCTATGCCCAGCGGAAACAAGAATGTCGACGACACGAGCACCCGAACTGACTGGGTTTCGAGCTACAAGCCTGGCAACAAGAATGTCGACGACACGAGCACCCGAACTGACTGGGTTTCGAGCTACAAGCCTGGCAACAAGAATGTCGACGACACGAGCACCCGAACTGACTGGGTTTCGAGCTACAAGCCTGCCAACAAGAATGTTGACGACACGAGCACCCGAAGTGACTGGGTTTCGAGCTACAAGCCTGGCAACAAGAATGTTGACGACACGAGCACCCGAAGTGACTGGGTTTCGAGCTACAAGCCTGGCAACAAGAATGTTGACGACACGAGCACCCGAAGTGACTGGGTTTCGAGCTACAAGCCTGGCAACAAGAATGACGTCGACATGAGGCTCCATTTCTGGGTAGGGCAGGAGACTTATTCACTGTCGAGAAATATGCTAACGCATCCCATTAGGTTCCGTTGGGCCCTGAGTACCTCAAGCTCGATTACTCGCCCATACACCATGAGCACCTCATCACTCTCGCGTCGGGGACCCAGATGATGCATGGAAGTGGGTTTATGAGTGCCGTGGCTCGATTTCTCCATCTGTGATACTGCGAGGACTGGATGACGAGGGCTGCCGATCGTTAGGAGGACAGGAAGTTTCATTTTCCTGAATTTATGATGGGACTCACGTCTTCTTTTGTGAAATGGTTGTATTTGAGATTTCTGGGAACCTCGCTCTTTGAGATAATAGTGTTCTATTGCAAGCACCTTGTTCGGCCTAAGGAAATTCGTTAATACGTTGAACGTAACTATAATGAGCACGGAGATAGCTTTCAATCTGAACCATTTGTGTGAAGATCTTCCGGGTATCCCAAAGCGTGATACACCAGCCAGGCCTCAGAACCCTCAGAATCCCCATCTTTCCAGGTACTTTCCAAGATTTTCTTCGATGCTTGTCTTTATTTCGTCGACTTTCTGGGGTTCCATGTGTTCCAGCCACCGCGACATGAAGAAGTATGGAGGCGAGACGTCTTCAAGAAACCATTTCAGCCCCGCAAGCTCTCCAGCACCCTGAATATCCACGGGTCTAAGCACACCAGCGCGAACAAATTCCTTGTCCATCATCTGAGCGATCTCAAAATCCACCTTCCTACCGTTCTGAGGAAGATTATTCCCATCGAACCCATCGAGGAGGCACCGGCGAAGTTGCCCTTCGTCGCCTTCTTCGAAAGGACCAGCTAACAAAGCGCCCACCGTTCGGAATGAGTAGAAGTACTCATCTGCTGGGGTAGCGATATGAGATAAATCAAAATCAAGGAGCGCCGTCAAACGATTTGATGTCGGATCAAATAACATATTAAATGTATCTAACGCGTGGTCAGCCTGTGTTGATTTTCATTGCTTGACTCGGACATAGACGAACTAAAATCACCATGAACCAATGTCTGACGAGCGATGGAATTCTCCGCGACTTGCTTTGCAATCCCATTTGTTACAAAGCGCTCCAGACGGTCCCTGAGATGGTTCCGGCGCCACCCTGCGATCCGCTCCGAAGTATCAGACTCGATCAGCTGTCGGCGGAGCATCTGCGTGTACATCTCGTGAAATTCGGAAAATGGTCCACCACACGGGATTGTCGTCGGTCCGGTGACAATTTCGCCAGATTCGTTGAAAGAAAGCCCTCCGTAACCTTTAACTGACTTTGGAAGAGAGTAGCTCTGGATCAGCTTGAATACGTCGGCGATCTGATGAAGGATATCCTGCTGATGGTCTCTGTCTAGGCCGTGAAATTCTTTGTCGAGTTGGGTGCCAGCCATATACTCCTGAAGGATCCATCCGTACCCCTCTACTGACGGACACCAGGCATAAGTGTTGGGAATTAGTCTGTCTTGGTAGGTGGAGAGGGCCTGTCTCATCAAGCACATCGCAGCTACCTCGTTCTGTACTCGGACATCCTCGTTTAGCATTGCCTGGGGATTGGATAGTCGAATGACCACTTTGGTAGTCCCTGCTAGCAGACTGGATGTTCCTGGCTTGAAACCTGTCGGTGATGATGTTGCGGGCTGGCAGACTGAATCGGCGAGCTCGACTAGGTGGGCGAAGTTGTTCGAGTCCCGGCCCAGCCTGCTAATGCCTAGCACCTACAATAGTACAAAAGTCAAATGTAAGCCCTAAGTGGTAAGGAAGCTTGTGATATACCTGACGTCCGAATCCATCTCGCATCAGATTAATGATGAAGCGCTGTCTGTGCTCGGCGGTGCTTTCAGCCATGCTGAAATTGAGTGTGGGGTTTTTTCTTTGGCAGTTGCCTGCAAGGACGGGCCGACCGTGAATGCAGATAAAAGATGAATCTTATAGGAGAAGCAGTGGGTGCGCACTAGGCCCTGTTTGTTCTCCGCAGGGTGTTGAAAGTCTTGAAGGAGTGAAAATAAGGTTTAGCGCTGTTACTCGGAACGCATCAATAATTTTTCCCTCTCTTCCGCTTTCACTCTTTCACTACACTTACAAACTGGCTTTTGCAAGCTCCACAAGACAGCCTTAACTTACATCATATCACCCCACCCTCCAATTCCATCCCGTTACCTACCTTATCGTAGGGATAAAGCAGATCATCAATGAACCACACCAACTTCGAGCAACGGCTCGACTTCATTCGAACTACAATTCAACAGCAGTATGGATTGAGTACCGTTGCCATTGACCCAATCGAATATGATCCGCAATGCATGTTCCCCTACAACAATTTCGTCTACCGCGTGAAACTCTCTCGTTCTACTTTCCCCTCGTCCCAACGCAGAACAGTGCTCGACGCGCCGGCTGCCCAACCCGGTACCGTTGCGATTCCCGATTCTGCTCAGCATGTCGTCATGCGCCTCAGCAATGCTGCCGCGGGACTCAACGATCAGAATCGAGTACAAAATGAGGTTGCAGCAATGTCTCTCGCCCGCAAAGCCCTCGCCCCTCGACAGATTGTCCCCACCGTCTATGGCTGGGCAAGTGCTGCGAAAGATCAGGGTTGGATTCTGATGGAACACATGAGAGGCACTCCGCTCGATGCAAATTTCGAAGATATGAGCTCGGATGACAAAAACAAAACTCTGAAGGAAGTTGCGGATATTGTTAGGGCCATGCAGCAGTATGAGCTGCCAGAGAGCATCCAAGGATTCGGTGGTCTGGATTTTGGCAGTGACGGCAATATCGTCAGTGGGCCACTTACGGTCTTTCCCTGCGGACCTTTCACGACATATTCAATGCTGGTGAAGGGCGTCCTGTATGAACAACTTGCTGCTGCCGACAAGAGTCCTATTATTCGTGGTTGGACAACCAAAGACACTCGGGCCAAGCTGGAGAGGTTTATCACCAAAAATGTTGATCGAATGCTGCAAGGTATCAACACTGAGAAGAAGCGACTTGTTCATGGAGATTTCAGTACGTTCAGTTGCTACCTTCCAGCCTCTGCTCCCTTCTCATGTAAATCCGATAGACTAATCCGAGAACGTTTAATTCACAGCTATGAATAACTTCTTGTTTGACAAAGAAGCTGGTCAAATTACCGCCATCCTTGACTTTGACTGGGCCCAGATTGGCTTGGCAGCAGATGAGATATTGCGGTCTTTTCATAAGTGCTACGCTCGGTTTCCGGGTCCTTACGAGCAGGACCCAGACCGTGTTTCGTTACGGCACGCCCTTTTACACGGTTTCCCCTCTCCCCTACCTATTTCATCTCGAAGCGTTAGATGGGACATAGCAGAGATGTGGGACAGTCAACTCGCAGATGTTGATGCAGAGAGGCCCAGTACGCTCGAAGGAATCGAACCCTTGTCTCGCTTGTATACGCTCCTGGATATGATTTGCCCTGATATGCTTTCCAATGAGGTTATTATTAAGCAAAGGAGCAGGAAGACAATGGAACGGGAAAAGGAAGTTGCGGAAGAGGTTCTGGAGCGATTTTTAAAGGAGAATCAAGCCTGAGCCGGTGCTGTTCTTTTGTGTAATGTAATATATCAGCCTCGTAAATTCCACGGACTACAAATAATAGGGAGCCGAGTTTTTAGAAGCTAGATTTGGTTATTAGTATTGTGCGGCGAACTCTTTTGTGGGGAAGGATTCTTTTTCTCTTCAAAGTACAATGGTCTGGGGAGAGGGAAACTGTACGATGCAATCATACTAGGGAAGCCTAATGGAACGCGCGACTTATTCTATAGTACATTAATTGCTTTCTTTAAAGACGTTCCAACTAGTGTCTTCTTGCGATCTCAACCTCCCCATTTTCTTTGCGGTATTCTACCCATGTATCTGCCCTCCCCGCCCTCAGTCCTCGCTTTGAACGCCGTTTTCCTCGACCGTACCGTACTCCCGCGTTGTGACTGGCCGATAGAAGGATGTGGTCCCAGTAAAGCCCTTGAATTAAGTAGGAATATAGAGCTTGAGTTGCTGCTTGTATACCTATGAGGTGAAGCTTATTTGGCATTGTGTTGTACCATGGTCTAGCGTATGAGTACGCGGCCTGAGTCCTGCCTAGGAATCTCTTGAAGATCTATTCCTAAAACTTGTCCTCTTTCTTGTACGCCAGCAAGCGTTGCCTGTTTATAGGTTCTCATGGGGCCATGTTGTGACCAGAGGATATGGGGGAGGGGAGCGCCTCGAAATACTTCATGGCCAGGAAACGCGTCAGTGCACGGACCACTGCCATTTTCGCGACCACCAGATTTCCCAGAAACAGTACTGTTGGACACCCCACATCAACAACATCATCACATATTCGCATTTCTCCAGCTTTGCTTCTTGCTCAAACTTTGGCTGTACTACATGCACTTAACAGTGTCCCCGAGCAGAGAATACCCTCCCCCAGGAATATACGCGATTCCTCACCTCTCGCGCGACTCCAGGCGCGTCACATTCGAAAATGGCACCCGAAGGAGCACGGCGCAAGGGTACTGACAATCAGTATCTTTTCGATTTGGGAACGAGAGGACGGTAAGGACTTCTCAAATCAGCCTGTGCATGCATCTAACACTATGTAGGAAAACTGGTCTCACAGTCCCTGACACTGGCGTTCGAGATGAAAATGGATTGGAGCCGATGGATCACTTGTTTTCGTCTCCTGAGAAGCCCAAAGAAGCATCTGCGCGACGTGTGAATGGCAACCGAAAGAATGCAGATAAGACAATATCGAGTGAGGCAGATATGGATGTTGATGAGAGTATGTTCACCTGAAGACCAACAGTCCACCAATACTGACCTTGCGATAGGCACTGTACCCGACCCTGCAGATATACTCACGGAACGAAAACGAGCAGCTGCGCGACTACCTCTTCCACGATCCAAGTCGCCTATCAAAACATATCTCAAATCACCTGCACGAAGAAACCCATCTCTTGGACCACTTTCCTCGCCAATTCGAGGTTCGATCGTGGAACCTAGGGTGGCTACAACGTCCGCTTCAGTTCGCAGAAGACTGGACTTCTCAAATACTAGCTTTGATAGTAATGGAGACAGTGCAATGACGAATGGATCACCTCAGAAGCGGGCAACTTCAGAGCTCCCAGCAAGGAGTGCAGCAAAACTTACCAATGGCAAGCTACTTGCACCATTCAGGCACGTCTCGTCCGACCACGCCGCCGATGATCGAGATGATACCGGATTGGAGGATATCGGATTCGTGAACGAAGGAGACTCGTTCCAGATGGTCAACGGAGGGGAGGAGGAGGCTCCAGAAGGTGAGGAGGAAGATAGTGAGGAGCAAGAGCCTGAACCACAGCCTGCGAAGAAGTCAAAGGGGAAAGAGAAGGCCGTTGAACTTTCTGCACCTGCCGCGAAACGTGGCAGACCTAAAAAGGCTGCACTCGAGTCAGTCAACGAAGAAGTAACTGAAGAATCTGAAGCAGTACTGCCCAAGAAGCGTGGCCGACCATCACTTGACGCTCCCAAATCACCAAAGCGCAAGATGGGTAGGCCGAAGAAGGTTGTCGAGCCAGACGTGTCAGAAGCGGCAGATGCACCAGAAGAACCAGAGCAACAGCCAGAAGAGGAGTCCGAAGAGAGACCCAAGAAAAGGACGCGGCGTTCTCTTGACGTTCCTCAGGCTGAGGCTGTAAAGACAGCTGGTCGACCAAAGAAGACAGCAAAGGATGCAAACACGAAGGAGACTAAGGGCAAGGGGAAAGCTTCTACGGAAGAGCCTGTGAAAGCAGCAAAGACCAAAGCAAAGGTCACCTCTCGGAAGCCAAAGCTAGCAACTATCGAGGAAGGACACTCACCACAAGTGCAGCGCTGTCCGCCTATGCCTAGGAACAACCGTGGACTGTTCATTCTCCGAAGGGAAACTCCAATGGAAGGGTCAGGTTTCCAGCAGACACGTTCCGGTCGGAACTCCATTAAGCCAGTCGCTTATTGGAAGAATGAGAGAATAGAATACTCCGAAGATGAAAACGAAGATGGCGTAGGCAAATTTCTCCTACCTAGAATCAAGGAGGTCGTTCGTGCTGATGAGGTGCATCAACCAACACGCAAGATCGCGAGAAGTAAATCAAAGGCGCCAAAGTCGAAGAAGCAAAGCGCAGAATCCGAATCAGAGGAGGAGGATATCGATATGGAGCCTTGGGAACTGGAGCCTGGACGTATTTTCGGCGAAGTCAAGAACTGGGATCCAGAAGACCCAAGCGGATCACAGCAAGAAGAGATTCAAGAGGAAATTGCACTGTCAGCTGCAGCAATCATCACTCGCGATATACCGCATGCTTCATTCCGCTTTGCCAAAACGCTTACTCTCCCATTTTTCGGGTCTGGAATGGTCGATCTGCCTGCGCATTCTATGAAGAAATCCAAGAACTCGAGGAAGATGCAGATGGTATTTTTTGTTTTCTACGGCAGGGTTCAGGTCACGGTGAATGATAATGTATTCAGTATCGGAAAGGGTGGGATGTGGCAAGTCCCCAGAGGTAAGAATGCGTCTTCTTTGGGCCAATCGGTACCAAGGTACTGACTTTTGCAGGGAACTTTTATAGTATTGAGAACGATTACGACAAACCAGCCAGGATATTCTTCTCGCAAGGTTGCGAAGTCGTTGAGGACATTGGAGCGGGCGAGAGTCAATAGTCTGGATGCAAGTTTTGTTTTGATGTTTTTGTATTGTTTTTGAGCATGGCGGGCTGGATATGTCAGAGAGCCTTTGATGGTAATCAGCACTTTGGAGTTGACGGTAGCTATGACATGATGACTTTCTATCATTCGAGCGCTGAGTTGTAAATAGAGTGGAAAGTGCAGATCAGCACTTGATAATGGACGTGACTGTATCTTGTTGGGGTTGCCTATCTCGCTCACTGCGAGCATCTCCATTTCAAAAAGCCTTGACCACGTTTACTTTGCTTGTTTAAAATCACGTGCACCAACTACGTCACGCCACCAATCTCTCGAAGTAACATTTCCTCGGAACTTACCTTGTTCTCATTCTTCTTCAACTAGACTGGCCAACATGGCATCAAAAATTGATACTGCGATTTTGAAAGCGCTATCACTTGATCCCGCAAGCACTACACTCGCCTGTCATGGCGGCAGTGGTTTCTCCTCAACCTACAAACTAAGCAGCAGAGCAAGCGATGGTGAAGAGAAGCTGTATTTTGTGAAGACTGGTGCTAACGGAAGTGAGACTATGTTTGCTGGTATGTATTGGCCCTCAGAAGCCTTTACAATATCTCTCAAGTATCTAGCGTCGACCGGTTCACGATTGTGGCGTTGGCTCCTAGGAACGGAGACAAAGAGATGTTGATCACATGCTCATATATCCAACCCACTAATACCACACAGGAGAACTTACCTCCTTAAATACAATCCACAGTATCGTGCCGAGCCTATGTCCGCAATCCTTCGCACATGGCCAATTATTCTCATCACCAGGCGCATTCCTTGCGACTGACTTCTTAAATCTCTCACCATCCTCCTCTTCAAAATCAGGTTCTGGCATTCCCTTGGCTCATAAACTCGCAAAGTTGCATTCCACGCCCGCACCTATTCCTGATGGCTACGATAAAGCTATGTTTGGATTTCCGGTACCGACTTGTTGTGGAGAGACGGTGCAGGATAATAGTTACAAGGGGAGTTGGGCGGAATTTTATGCCGAGAACAGGTTGAGGCATATTTTGAGATGTAAGTCTGCCATTATCCCTTCGTCCGCTGAGACACTGCCCGCGCTAGCAGGGGAAGCTGAACAAGGCCTTCTTATTCGCCGGAAGATGAGGCTCAACTATCATTCAGTGATGTGACCAATTGCAACCCCTACTCCTTATTCCCTGCTAGCTTGGGCAGTGTCTCAGCGGACGAGGGGATACCATTTCGATAATAGATCTATAGATCTATAGATCTTGTTTAGTGGGCATTTTTCCCATTTCGTATTAAGTATTGGTCTCTCATTGACACTCTGCAGGCGCGGAAAAGAATCAAGGTCGTGACACCACTCTATCACAACTCGTCGAAACTACAGCTAGCATCATCGTCCCTCGTCTCCTCCGCGACGGGCACCTAACCTCCCCAGATGGGTCACCTATCGCTCCAGTTGTCGTACATGGTGATCTCTGGAGTGGCAATCGTGGTAAAGGCACCATTGGATGCGAAGGCGGTATCGAAGAAGTGGTGTTTGATCCGAGCGCATGCTATGCTCATAGCGAGTATGAATTTGGGATCATGGGAATGTTTGGTGGCTTTGGGGGGTCGTTCAATAAAGAGTATTGGACGTTGAAGGGGAAGGATGACCCGGTAAGCGAGTGGGAGGACAGGAGGGTGTTGTATGAGCTGTGAGTCTCTTCCGCCACAACTTCTCGACGCTGTATTATTTCTTTCATCTGGTGAACAGTCAGAGCAATTATTAAAAAGATGCTAAGATATAGCAGGTATCATCATCTTAACCACTATGCAATGTTTGGGGGTGGGTACAAGAGTGGCGCTGAGAGTATCATGAGGAAGTTGATCAAGAAGTTTGGTGATGGAAAATAAGTTGAAAGACAAGATAAAAGGATGAAGAAATGATTTGAGATGTCATCCTTTGCATGATAGTTCACTCTTAGTATAGTTAAATTAGATATCATGTCCAGGAAGATATCCTATAAACTGTTAATCCACTGTTTTCAGTCTTTCTCTAATAGCTGTTCTCGCTTGAGCCATATCAACAAAGTGTTGTGCTAAGCGAAACTGAAATCTTTCCAGTGCTCCCACCAGGAAATATCTTAATGACCACAGGAGCGACCAACTTGAACTAAAAGTCTTCGATACTAACAAAATCTTCTGTTATACAGTCCCAAAGTACTCCGATTGAGTAAGACGATCTTCTAACCGAATATGAAGCCATGCAAACAGACAACTGGTCACTATTTCCACATCTTCCCGCCGATTATTGATCCGGCTCCCTAACCTTTAACCACTTCTCTTCAAACTCTGTGATCACTCTTTCAACCTCGTCCTTCTCCATCGCATTGTTTCCTGGCAGAAATATCCCATACCCCTGCTGCGCTTTCAGGATTTCACCTTGAGCGCCCGTCACTGTTGTTGTGTCGATGCTGCGATAAAGCCCCAGAGCTGGATAGGCGACGACGCCAAAAATGGCTGATTTGATCAGCTATTGATTTTGCCTTGAAAGAATTCATGAGCTATGAAGGGATGGATGGGAAAATACCATGGGCAGGTTGAGTCAGCAAGCCTCCGCAACCTTTTGCAATGCCTTTTATCAAGCCGAGCGTGCCACCGTCTCGGGCACCTTTATAAGGCTGCGTGAAGAACCCGACGCAGCCGTCGTAGAAGCCGTATCCGAGACTCTGGAAGGACTTTAGCTCTGAAGTTATGGATCAGGATAGTTTGTGGGAGAATTACCTTCAGGCCAACCTTTCCGCCACTCTTCCACCCGCTGATCTCACCCCTATCTCTCATCTTTTCACCATACAAAGCAGGAATATTATGCATCCCATCCGTCATGGCCATCGGTAGATCAATAGCTGTTTTTGTGAGTGCCATTCCCACTCTTCCAAACCCACGACCAATTGCCTTCCCAGCAGCTCCTGCGGCATGGCTTCCACCAGATGAGGAGCTGTAGACACTCGCCGTTTCACTTTTGGCTCTCTCGATGGCCTTGACTCGCCGATACTCTTGCATTGGTTCCTCAATGACACTACTCATTGCAAGGAAGATGTTTTGGGCACTGTCAAGTCCTGCGGATGTGGTTGCCGTAATGGGTTCCCAGCGCCGGTTTTCGATTGTGATGGGTTTGGATTTGTGTCTATGGAGGTCGTTAGCAAGAATAGGGGTTGATCAAGGAAAGAAATTCTCACAATTTCAGTGACGAAGCCTTGATCTTCTTATATTCTACTAAAATCGATGCTGCACGATGAGACAGTTTGAGTGTCCGCTTTCCCTTCTTCCACGACCAGTTCGCAGGATGTTTCGGGACCATATCGCAGTTGAGCTCCGGAACAGGGACATTTCGATGAAATGACCGGACAGCTGCGCGAACGCCGTTCTCTGCCTTCATCTTCTCGGCTATTTTCTGTGCCGCAAGCCGAGTTTCTGGTGCGATACAGACTGCAATCGCCTTCGAGAGAGATGCGACGCTGAGGGACTTGTGTTCGATAGGTATCAGAGTGGCCGATCAGCCAATCAGTCAGCCATCAGCTGAGCAACTTGCTAAGCTGACTAGCTTACGTATAAATCACAGCTTAATAGCTTTAACTGAAGAGCTTAAAAGCTACTTAAAAGCTGATTCTAAAAATAGATATATACTAAAAATCCCTCTTAAGATCAACTATATTAAATACTACTATAAGCTCTACTATCCCCTTTCTTTACTAGTTTTTTAAGCACTCTTAATACTATAGCAATTAACCTGATAACCTCGAACTATATAGTATAGTTTATATAGAATAAGACGAGAAAACACGCTTATACTCAGAGCTTATAGCAAGTATATATAAAAAATCAAAGGCTATCTTAGTAAGCTATAGCTACTAGACCTGCTTTAAACACTAATACTCTAAAAGAGGCTAATCTATTAGAAGCTCTTTAAGATATAAGGCTAATTAGTCTTTCCGGCTTAAAGGTCATAGAGTTCTTACTATAAAAGTTATACTAGTAAAAGAAGGTACTAGCCTCTCTAATTAACTAGTTTTATATAGCTTTAGAAGCTCTAGCTCTAGAGTTCTTTCCTCTACTTATATAACAGCTTCTCCTTTATATTCCGTCTCCTAAAGCTTCTGTAAAGACGCCTTCCTTTTCCTTATATATTATACGTTATCTCTAGTCTATTATTAGTTAAAATACTACTATTTCCAGCGAGAGTAAAGAACTAAAGCTATTATCTACGTAAGAGAGATATTAGTTTTACTATAGAACTCCTTTATCTTATTCTAAGTAAGTATAATCGACTCTTATATACCTTAGTAGCTATTAAATCGACCTACTTTCACGCTAGCCTCTAGAACCTTAAAGTAAGAGAGTAGAGCTTTAAAAAGAGGTAATAACTCCTAGAGAGCTTCATAAGATAATAATATAGAGTCGAATTAATCAGGGTTACTTTTAAGGTTTTTAGTAAGACAGAAAAGAAGTTCTAAGTGCTCTACTATTAGCTGAAGAGTCTCTTATTCGTTATTATTAAGATAATCTTCTTAAAACACCTCTTAATCGAGAGTATCTTTAGAAACTCTTAATTTAATAGCGTAAGTATTAAGAGCCTCACAGAGAGCTAGAGCGCATATAATCATCGAATATAAGGAATTCCAGCGTATACTACTATCTAAAACAACTTTCTATCTCTTTCCGGCGGCCTTACCTTAATTAAACTTATCTTATAAGCTATTAAAAGCTACACTACGCTTTCCAGAGGCTATAATATATACTACTAAGTTATAAAGCTTTCTAAACTCTCCGTAAGACCTCTAAAGTTATCTCCTTCCTTCAGGACTAGCTCTCTTAAATTCAGCCTTAAAAGATAACGTATCTTAACTAAATAGGTATTATTTAGCGATAAGATTAAGTATATAGCTTATATAACAAAGCCGGCGTTATTTCAAGTTGAAATTAAGTGATTTTAAAAGCTCTAAGAGTATAGTATTATTATTCGACACGTTATCAAGAATAAACTATCAGGGGCTCCTGCTATTTTAAGCTATAGCCCTTAAAGGCTACACGCCTCTCGAGCTCTGAAACTCTCCCTAAGTTTCAGATAATATAATATTACCTCTTTGCTCCCTGTGTTCCTAGGTACCCTATGATATTCTAAAACTTCCTTTAAGTAGCATAGTAAAGAGAACAACTGATTAGAGAGATCTACCTAAGGCCCCTCTACTAAGATACTGTGGCATCGCTACGGTCGGACCTCGTTTAGATACCTACTAATACTACCTACTAATACGATTAATAAGAAAAGTGATACTCTCTAAGGAAAGGATTAATCTAGATATAGCTAAGCGACTATCTTAATTATAGAAGCAAGAGATTAAGATTTCCCCGCCTAGTGAACTATTGATAAACGCCCTAGAGCTTAGTATAACTATAAGCTCTAGAAACGGAGAAGGCTCCGGCTACTAAGTATATAATAACCTAGACTCTCTAGACTCTCTAGACCTATTATCTATAAATTCAGAATATATCCGCGGTGTCGAAAACAAAGACCCGAACCTTATTAGCGAAAACTCCCTCTCTCTAATAGCTAGCTACTAAGTATAAGTAGAGAGCGAGTAGGAGAACTACTAAAACTTACTAATATCGTAATACTTCTAAAGCCGCTAACGCCCCTAAGACTCTCTATAGAGAACCTATAGTAACTTATTAACTTATAATAATTCCTTACTACGCTTCCACTTTTTACGTAACTCTTAAGTTATAATAAAGGTATAACTCTAGGAGATTAACCGCCTTAAGGAGCTAAACTAAACTATATCTATAAAAATATAAGCTACGGAATAATAACAAATAGCGGGCTTTCCGGGTTAGGAAGGATATTTCGAAGCTACCTTAATAATAAGCGGTGCCTTACCTTACTTTATAATAGTAGAACAACTAGCTAGAAGAGGTCTTCCTCTAAGTCTAAGAGGTCCCCTAGTTTTCCTAGAATTAACTAGCCTGCCTAGCTACACGGCTAACTTAGTTTCAGGATAATTATTAGCACCTCTATACCTAGTAGTAGTAATACCTCCTGAATACTTAGGCCGCTCTAGGGATTAACCGTGAAGTAAAACTCCCTCTATATTTATACTACTAAAGGATAACTTATGTTTTTAGATCCTTGAAATAGAAAACTATATAGTAGTAGAAGGAATAGTCGACTCTACTATGTAAGCTACTATAGTAAAGGACTACGTTTATATGACTATTAAGAAGCGTATCCAGTTTACTCGACTTAACGGCACACTATAAGAAGTTACTAAGTTTATACACTAGCTCCTACTAAAGGAATAGCTATTCCTAGAATATAGAATATAAATATTAGCTATTAAAGCAGATCTCAGAATAATAAAGATTCGAATATTTAATAATTAGTTAGTCTAGGATTTTACTAATTTCTTTGAAGGTCTACTTTAAGATGTGTTATAGTACTATAAACCTTTAGTAGTACTATCTAACTATCGTAGTAAACTTATATAACTTATCTTCTGATGTATCTATAATACTTATAAGGGAATTCTACTAATAACTTACCCTATTATAAAGGAGTAAGTACTTTAAGCTAAAGAATACCTATGTACTACCTCCTACCTTTTTAATAGATAGCCCTCTCGTGCCTTAGCTAAATGCCCTGCGGCCTAACTACGGAAGAATATCAGCTTTGTAGTAATACTTATAAGTGTTAACGCCACTCCTACTATATTAAGGGAGCCTTTATAAGACGCGTTAGGAAATAAGAAAAGAAGGGAAACCTAGTATCCGGATATCCCTGCAGAGAAGAGGAAGAGACTATAATAAGAGAAGTGATATTTCACCTGCGAAGTACCGGTTATTAGACTAGAGATTACCTAAAAGGAAATAGAGGCCCTCCCTATTAATAGGACTAGCGGGATTAAGGGTGAATAGGTCCTCAGGAGAAATCTATAGTAACACTATAGATAACGTATTATTACTTACTAATAATAAATATCGATTATCCGCGACCTAACTTTATAATTCCGAAGAATAACTATACGCCCTGCTAAGCCACGTTATACACACGCTAAATCATATTAATATACTATTACTATTCCAGCCTTTACTTAATATACTTAGCGTGCTCTTAACTCGTCCTGAATTCTATAAAGTCACGGTTTTATTATTATCTCTAGATAGTTCTAATATTAAAATATCCGCACTTGTAGATACTAGTGTATTATTAAACTTTATTAATATAACTCTAGCTACTAAAGTTTAATATTAATAAGATAACTCCTATTATCTTATAGTTAAGAACGCTAAAGGATAAGTGCTAGCGCCTGTATTTACTACAGCGCTCTTATAGCTCCTAATAACAACACCTTAAATATACTTTATAAGCGATGAACTATTTCAGGAGATAGAACTAGAGGTAGTAGATATTATTCTCGGCCTTCTATAGTTAAAGAAGTATAATCCGAAGGTTAATTTCCGTACTAGTGAACTCACTTGTAGTAATAATATACTATTTAAAGAAAGCTTTAAGCGTATACTTATAGTAATAGACTATTTATATCTTACTAAAGACTCTGCTAATAAAACAGATAGCCTACTATTAGTAACTAATAAGTATAACTTAGCGCTCCTTTTAAACAACTTAGACTTAAATAATAGTGAACTACTAGGCCTGCTAGGACACGACCTTAGTATAACCGCGGAAAAGCCGCCTATTAAGCTGCTGCTAAAATACGCGGTATTCTCTAAGGTATTCGACTTTATTAAGGCTTAATAACTTCTACTTTATCGCTTAGGACTAGATTATGAAATCTACTTACGACTTAGTACTAAACCTCTATTTAGCTCTATCTATAATCTATCCTAAGAGAAACTACTTGTTCTAAGATAATACCTAGATAAGATACTAGCTTAGGGATTTATTCGTACTTCGAAGTCCGAAGCTATAGCTTTATTATTATTTGTAGGGAAAAAGGATAAAGGCCTAAGACTTTACGTCGACTTTCACGCACTTAACGCTATCACTATACCTAACTAATACCCGATCCCTCTAATCTCGGAGATCCTTAACTGACTTAGGGAAGCTACTATATTTATTAAACTAGATTTACTTAGCGCTTATAATCTTATTCGTATTACCTTAGGATATAAATAGAAGATAGCTTTTCGCACTTGTTTTAGCTCTTTTAAGTACCTAGTTATACCTTTCGGACTATATAACGTGTCTACTACTTTTCAGGCCTATATTAACTAGTGCTTTCAAGAGTTTATCGATATTTATATTATTGTTTACCTTAATAATATCCTAGTCTTCTCAAAGGACCCTAGTATACACTTAACTCACGTTAGTAACGTGCTAGAATAGCTCGTAGCATAGGGACTATTTTATAAGTTAGAGAAATACGAATTTAATACTACAGAGGTCGAGTTCTTAGGGTATATTATATCGCCTAGCGGGATTTATATAGACGAAAGACGCCTCGCTACAATTAACTAGTAGCCTGTCCCCGGCACT